TATTTTTTTAATAATTAAATATTAGATTATAAATTTATACTGTCTGTGTTTTTTGTCTTCTTGTGTTGTGCTTTTGCTAGTTGAGCTTATCAATTAATATCAGAGCGATGCATTTTTCACAGAGAAAATTTCAGCGGGATCTCGTACCGTCCTTCGGGCAGAGAGCCAGGCTCGCCGGATCCCCCGCGGATGAAGTACAGCCCGGCCAGCCCGGATACCACGTGTAGCCCAGAGTGTGATCTTCCAGATTCTGGAAGATTTTGAGGCCGCCACGGCCAAGTAGACTTGCTTGTGCAGAGCGCATTTTTCACAAAGAAAATTTCACGTTGTCTCGACAGGCTAGTCATGTCTGTTGTTGAGGAGTTAAGGTACAAAATTGATTTGATCATCCGGCCGTGTCTCAGTAGTGCGTGAGTTGCTTTTAAATTATGACAAAATATATTTAATATTTATAAAAAATAAATTTTTGAATAAAATAAAATGCATAAAATGTAATTTTTTTAGTTAAAACATGAGGCATGAATGAAATAAGCATGTCATTAATTATTTACAAACATTTTTGACTATAAATGAGTAAAATTAAAAATTAGTATAAAAAAGATTAACAATTATGAATATATTAAATGTATTTTTTTAGTCTTTATTCAATATTAAAATTGTAATCATATTTTAGAACAAACTTCAAGTGATTTTTAATCCATAATTTTGTGGATCTGACAAAATCATACAAAAAACTAAAACTTCAATAAATATAATAAATTTTTTTGAAATAATAAAATATTTAAATTTAAATATTAATTTTTATTTAGTAGAAATTAATGATGAATTAATGATTTCTGCGATCATACTCACTCAGATTCATTCACTACTTTTTTGCAATTGTGTTTTGTTCAGGCTAACATATCTAATATTTATTCATTTGTTGACATGCTTGGTATTTTACAGTTTGTGATGAATTTGACGATGTTACCTTTTTACATAATAATGATTGTTCTGTGTTTGAAGTCTATTTGATTAACATTTTGCACTAATCCTATTTAGGTTTTTTGTTACGAGACATTTCGATAATATTTGAACATTACTATGGCAGAAATAAAATATTATAATAAATTTATTTTAATATACTATCATACTTAATTTTTTAAGCTAAAAAAAATTATATAATTTTTTTAGAAAAAAAATTTGACCAATTTTTTTGAAACCAAAATCAAAAATTTATTTTTACCAATTTAATTTTGATATTATTTTATAAGTGAATAATTTATAGAGATATTTATTTCAATCCTAATCTCTTGAATTCAATCTACTGTTTATTTTGTTAATTATGAGCTCATTTTTTGCAGTGGTTTTATTATCGCATTATGATATTCTTTCTCTTCTCCGCGTGCAGCTTCCTTATTCACTCACTAGCTTGTTCTAGTCTCAACATTAACCCAAGGGGACGAAACCATCTATTTTGAAAAACTGAAATGTAAAAACTATCTTATTGAGTAAAATAAATTATGTTCGGCATTTGGCATGGAACTATTTAAGTAATTTTTTTTGTTTATTTTTTAAAATTAAAATTTTTTTATTATGAAATGGTTAACTTTTGAATATATGGTATTGATTAAATTTTATGAAAAATTATAATAATTTTAAAAATATATTTAAGATTAAAAAGAATATATATAGACTTTAATAAATATATGTAGAATTTTGAAATTTAATCTAATGCTGTAAATTATTGTTACATAAGATTAAATCCAAATTTTTAACAAAATTTGAATTTTTAATAATATTAAAGTAGATAAAAATGTATATTAGTTTGAAATATTTATTGACAACTCAATTGCATTCAATCTTTGACCTAAAGTACATGAATGATTCAAATTTCAAATTTCATTATAAAATAAAGTTTTTCATCATATACTTTCAATTAGTTTATTAGTTTTCATAATATTTCAAATTTCACAAGATTATTTTATTAAAATTCAAAGAATACAGAATTGTAATATTAATTTTTAGCAGTTGTATTAAATTGACTTTTATGCCACATCAAAATAAAAAATTTATCTAGATAAAAAAATATTTATCTAAGATATTTTTTTTCATATGTTCAAAATTATGTTGAAAGTATATATAATATAAAATCTTAAATTTATCTGAATTTGATTAACTCTTCTGCGTTTATATATATATATATATATATATATATATATATAATGTCAAAATGTTATTATATTTTTCAAAATGTATATATTATTTAGTCTATTTTGAATGTAACTCAGCTATAAATCATACATATTCATGCATTGTAAGGTTTTTAATAATAATAATAATATGTAAAATATTTTTATTTTTATATTTCATTTTTTTTCTATCAAATTTCAATTTATTTCGTCCATAGTACATTACATAGGAAAACAAACATTGATTTAATTCTTTTTTAAATCTATTCTAAAAAATCTACAATTACGCAATTAGAGTGCTTCTCACATGCCACGAGCTTTGGTTTACAGGATTTGAAACCCTAGTATCTTGGTTGAATGATCAAACATTTAATAATAAATAACCAACCATTATTCAAAATTAAACTTTTAAATAAAAAGTTATAATTTGATTCATTGTTTAGTAATGTTTATATTGAAGTTGAATGATTCCAATAAATTTAAAAAAATAATTTTCTAATTATATGGATTTGAAGTATATTTTTATTTTTTGGTTTTATTAGTTTCTTTTTAGGTAAGAAATATCTTTGATATAAATATTTAATAAATAATCTCAGTTGTTTAATTATTTAGACAGATATTTTATTTTATCTTAATAAAAAACTGTAATGTTATTCATTAGAATTAAAAAATATTTATATAATTTAATATGATATTTTCTATTAAAAAATTACACATGAAAAAATTATCTTTTCTACTTCTTTACGGAAGATAATATTGTTATTAAATTTAAAAAAATATTATTTTCTATATATATGTAACACAATAAACACATTTTATTTTGAATCTATATTTAAAAAAAAGTTTAATTTTAAGAAAAATTAAGTCAGAAAAATTTTCAATCTTATCAAATAATCTATTTTATAGAAAATATAGTGATTTTTTATTGATTTTTATTTAAAATTTAAAATAGATATAAAAATATCTTTGATTTGTGAAATAATGTGATATATAAAGTGATAATTACTCTTGAATCAATGTATAAATTTTTTATTATAAAAATTTATATATTTATAAGATGAGATTCATCAACATCAATTTTGAAGTGGTAGTGTACCATATTTTGAGAAAACATTTTCTTTTGGTTTTGAATATTACATCGCTAACATATTAGTATTATTGTAATTTTAGTATCAAATATAACTCTAGGGTCCAAAGGCGGACTCAAGGCGAAGTTCATGCGCTTATTAGGTAGGGATCGCGAGAAATTCAGCTTATGCTTGATCTCATTCGTGTGGTATCGGAAGATTAGGTTGATATTTTAGAAATATTTTAAAAAAAATATTTTTGTGCAAAAAATATACTTTAAAAAATTAATTATTGAAAAATCAATTAAAAATAATCTACTAATAACATAAAGTAGATACTTATGAAGTGTTGAAGTCTTGACATCATTTGTAATTAGGTTAAGTATATTAAAGTTAAAGTACAGATTAATCAAGATCAAGTTGATATATAGTCGATCAGTAATATGGCAAATACTTATAGTGGTCATGTTAAATATCCATTTGCTTGGTAGTTAAAAATGATTGGTTAAAAATTGGTGATTTATTCGTTATGAATCCACTAATGTTGAAATCTATTGTTGGATGACATCTCATCTCTTTGAATCTAAAGATATATATCTAAAAATTAAGTTAATCATTTCATATACTTTCATCTTCAGAGTTTATATTTCAAATTCGATTAAGATATTCTTTTAATCTCTAGTGTTGTATTAATGATTAATCACAATTCATGTGTATGCAACAATTATTAATTCAATCTTTAGATCTTATATTACCATTTGTTTCATTATATACAAGATAATATATCTTCTATTGAACTGTCTAACAAAAGTTCTATGTAATGCATATGATAGATTAATATGTCAAGTCCTATGGACGTGAACTTATATCTTTTTTGTTATTTTAGTTTGTACTTTTCATTTTAACTTAGAATTAAAATTCATGTTTAGTATCATCTTTTAAGATTAAATTTTACTTTCTCATTAAATTAAGTTTTTATACCATAATAGATATGAAAGAACATTTCCAAACACATAATAATTACTTATCTGCACAATTCATCTCCATTTTTCATTATATGTATTTCATTTTAGATGCAATAATATAATTTAGTTCTCAACCATGATTTCATACTTTTCTTGAATGATTGAATTACTGAAATGAATTAATGTCACTATATAAAAAACTAATGGTAGGGATATATGCAAACATAATTAATAATTGTAGATATTAAGAAAATAATTAGAAGTTTTCAAAGTTGTTATTTTGACATGAATATTTAAATTCACTTATAATATAAATGAATAATAAAGTTAATTTACATTCTTCAAAAGTTGAGAAAATAAGTTAATTATTTTGATCAAATATTATTAACTTGTATAACCTAAATTTTTTATTTTGATTTTGATAATATGGATGTATTATGAAATATGAAAATTAGTTTTTAAGATATTTTATTGTTACCGATTTATTGTTATTTTTTCATTATTTTCATTTTGTAGATAATATATTGATTTGTAGTTATTTGTATTTTATTATATTATAAATTATGTAAATATTGTTGTTATGAAACAGATTTTTTTACTAATTTTTTGAATCGTTTTTCACTACTTATGAAAAAAACAACTGTTTCACATACAACACACCATATCGTATAAGCCATTTCACCGACGGTTTGATGATAAACTTTTGATATACATGACATCCATATTATATTATCTAATCAACAACGACACTTTTTCCACCCATCGACACATAGATTTCGTCAAAACGCAGATATTATTTAATCCTGCGGTCTTTCGACAAGCATTCCTATGTGATGCTCCGACGACCTATATTCATTGCACACTTGAGAGTACATGTATGAAGCTCTTAAATACGATCAGTAGATCACCTTGAATTGCTACCCGCTACAGTCTACGGCTGTGAGTGAGAAATTTACAAAGATGACCTCTACGAAGGTGCTTTTCCTATCTAAATTGCTAGTATTTACTACACCTTTTTGTAGTACTAAAACCACCTTCACATCACCAAGTGTTCTAGCTTCATGGCTAAATTACTACTACCGCAATCGTATCTTCCGGGAACGAAGCTTCCTACTGAACCGCGCTTTACGGCGATGACAACACTTAAGAATTCGGAAGACGGTTGACATGGCTGCAATGGTTACAACTATCTAATCAATTACAAGCAGCTTCGATAGCTCTACTACTTCCCCCAGAAGACAATGTCAACGTACTCAATATACAAAAACAATCTTTTAAAAACGTGAATCAATTTGAGTAACTAGCTACCTTGCGCAATTTTCCTCTAAACCATCTAGATTACCATACCATCCTTGATGGTGGAATTCTTCAATACGACTGTAATACCAGATCGGATGTAAAATCCCTCCGATGGCCTTTCTGCTTCTTGAACGTTCTGCAAATAACAAAACAGAGAGCGTAAATTCTCAAGTAAGATGACCAAAAGGGTGTTGGTAGCAAAGACAGTGGCGTTGTATTTATATCAACTCTACCGTACATAACAGATCCGATACATACAGAAATATGCGGATACAAAAGTATGAATACTCACATCCTTGTTCATGATAATAACATTTCGTCCAATTCTCGAATTTTTGTCGATAATACAGTTCCTGCACGCGAAAACGTAGTACTTAATACTTGCACTAACGATTGCTGAAAAATATATCCACAACTGACAACACAAAGAAAAACATACGAAGTAATACACTTCCACTTCTCTTCACCCACCTGATTTTGGAGTTTGTTCCAACACCCAGAGGTACTTTACCGCTAGCAAGCAAACTTGCCATCTCCGCATCTGTCTCGTAGTAATCAGCACCCATCATCATAGTATCCTATTAAGAAACGCAACAGTTCAATTAGACAACTTGCATGTGAGAAAAGTGAATGGTATATCTTACACCACCATATTCCGAACCTAGTAGCAGATACATCACTAACTAACATCCGTAAAAAACATTATTAAACTGCTCAAAATAAATACCTGTAGCTCCACACCACTCTCAATGCGAGATCGAATCCCAACAATAGAGTGCTCCACGCTACAGTCTCGGAGGAAACATCCGTGAGACACGATAGAGTCGATGATCTAGCATATCAATATAAACGGCATCAGTACTTTTATATTCAAACACGCGACTTCGATATTCAAGTATGCATATTCCGCATACTGCAGCAACATTCACAAGCTTAAGAGAAGGTACGAACAATGTTGAATTGGCAAGATTCTCTATCGACTTACTCGGCATTTCTCCACCTTTGTAGGTGGCAGGTATCGAGGAGACGTAAAAATAGGCTTTGCAACATCGTAAAATTTGAACTTTGGCGGCTGCATGTCATACAATCCCAGATGTACGGTTAGCGTTTGCATAAAACCCATATCAAATTATCAACTTGTACATTCTTTTGAGATTTTTAGGACCTCTCCAGTATTCTCAATTCAGATCATCAGTCATTCTTCACGGCTCAGACAGTCTACAAAGTGAAACTCATCATTATTAGCAAACAACAACTCAGCTTATTCTTGGTGTAGATATTTTACCTGCTCAGTAAGTGCCAAATTGGCATCAAAAAACGACTTGATAGTTCCGATGTCTTCCCAGTAGTCGTTGAACAAATATGCCTGACCAATCAGAGATATGTACGCGTTAGGAATGATATGAAACAGAGGTTCAATGTCCAGAAAACTCTCCGGTCTGACCCAATGATGTACTGTTTCAAAAGCAATAATATGAAGACTGAAGACAATTTCCCAGCCAAACCCCAACTATGCAACCATTGATTTACCTGAACATTGAACTCTTTAGCGGAAGCAGGAATAATTTCAGATCCAAAGTCATTCGCAGTAGGATAACGCCATCTGTGTATTGTCAAAAAAACCTCAGTCTCGACTACCATGACACGTGGTAGTTGACATACCAGCAAACTACAATAAGCTGGTCAAAAAATAAGCTGCCATTCCTGAGATAAAATCCTTCGTCTTGCCATAAATATAAAAATTAGCTTTAGTTCCTACAAGCTGCGCAAATTCGATCAGACGTCTAATTGAAACTATGATTGGTAAGCATGGCCAACATACATGAATCTAACTTGAGTAAAATTGTGATATCGTAAAAACAATTGAATCCAACCTTAGGAGCTTGAGAAGAATTTCCTTCTTAAAAACATATATTCCCATTGACGCGATGTATGGCATCTTCTTCGCCTCTTCGGGAGACAGTCCCAAAACAGTAGTATCCACTTGCTGCGTTTAACAATACCTCACGCGTCAGCGTAATTGATGGCAGGCTTGTACAATCTGTAGAAATTTTAATGGCTAACAATCAGGCAAAACGATCTGATGTTCATATCTTACCATGGACTTCAACTGTTCACCCTTTGGCTTCTCGTTGAAGTATAAGACCTGACCTTTGTGGTCAATCTTCATCAGACCATAATCCGACGCTCGACTGCATGGACCGAAGAAATGGAGTTAGCAGAGAAGATTCTCAATCATTGCAGACATCGACGCCAGTGTCACTTTCGTACCCCTGGCCCTGATGATTAAAGACTGAATTCCTACTTAAGTTCAAAACAAACTTAAGTTAAAATCCCAAAACATTCGTTTTACTTATTCATACCTGTCATCCATCGGCACGCAGGAAATTGTAATGTCGGCTCCACTATCTTTGTGTTTCTGATTGTGAAACAGGCCAACAGACTCATCAGTACAGAAGAGCAGATGTTCGGCAGCTATACCAAAAAAACGCTTACAGTACTGACTGCTGCATGGATGAGACAAAAACCGAATATAACAGTTATTTATTCACCTGCACAAAGTCCATGTAGTCCATTCGATACAGATGATCACCAGAAAGGATCAGAACATGTTCAACTCCCTTGTTCTTCACATCCTGCAGTGGAAAAAAATTGACGTGATAGAGGAGCTCAGCACTTAGTCCGGACAAGAAAACAATCATAACTTTATGTTCTACGTGAATAGCTTAATCAACTGTTAAGATCAACTCCATATTCAACTCCTCAGTATGCGTGTTTACGTATGATTGCTACTGTACTTCTGATGTTATGATAAATGAATAAAATAGAAACTTTCGGGAACAGGGAGACACACAAACACAAGCAGACAAATGCTCATTTCGAGACTTCGCCGCCAAAATTACCTCAAAAAGCCAAGTGAATTGGCGAACAGCATCAGCAGTTCCCATGAACCAGTTCATGCCAGACTCCCCTGGAGTTTGCGTCGCTGCCAGCACCTGTTCGACATAGAACATCAAAACATAAGTTCAGGCGAACCACCACATAATAATCCTCCATAAGGAGCAAAATTTAGGCATTGTGTCTGGGTGTGATTAACCTTACAGCACCCTTCAATTTGGCTAGTAGGCGGATTTCAATTGTTCGCAACAGTATCTACAAGTGGAGAGAACTAAGGTGCACGCTGGAGTTTGTGCATGTACGGCAGCGAAGACCTTCGACTTTTCGCGCAAAACTAAACGAACACATCCTACACGCAAGCGACAATAGATGATAGTTCGAGAGCATACGAAGCTTTCAAATTGAAATTACCTCGACAAATCCATTCCCAAAGTTGACGCCGTTTCCAAAGTTGTATGTTCTGGCAAGGTGACGATTCAGGGAAGCTGAATTGAATTGAGTAAGGATGAATACTTTGTTGATACCGCTGTTGATGCAGTTACTCATGGGTACGTCGATGAGCCTGTAGGCTCCTCCGATAGGAACCTGAAGTGCACAACAAATGTAAACTTAGAACAATCGCTGAACCGAAGCGAAGAACATTAACATGCATCTAGCAGCATAAAAGCTTCAGATTGCGAGCTCGAGATAGAATCGAAAGGGATTACATTGTCATGACCAAACGGAAACTTACAGCTGGTTTCGCCCTCCTCCTGGTGAGAGGGAACAGTCGAGTTCCAGCTCCACCTCCCAAAATTAAAGAAGCGACAGTTTGTGGATCCACTCTGGGTCTGAATTCAGTCAACGGTGCCTGTGCGGGAGCTTGCGCTTGCTGCACGGACAATGGAAAAAGACGCCATGTATAAATTTACTTGCAACGGAACATCAACAATCTAGTATCGCGATGAGCCCTGTATCATCTTTAATCTTTGAACGGCTAACACGAGACGACGCGATGGTATACATGGTTTGGAGCGCTTAAGTGAAGGATTAGGACAAACGCCGTACACATTCTACGTTCTAACCAAGCATCTAACTAATGCTGCAGTCTGCTTTCTTCTCGAACAAGAATCCCGCTGATGAAATTATAAACGTCGCAAGCAGAGAAGCGCCTGAAGATCCAGTTGTCTCATATGTTTAGAATTCATCTGGGCTGAATATAATTGATCCATTTTCAGCTCATTCCTCGGATAACACACAAGCCCACGGTAGCAAATGTTTGTGTCTCACCAAAGGCTAGAACTGACACAAGTCGGGAGAAGTGGCTAGGACAGAGTGCTCAAGAATGCGAGCTGTGACAGAGTACGCTACACCACGAGTGAGGAAGCTAGAATGAAGCTGAAAAGTGCTCAGTGCTGAATGGGCACAGAGGTGCCTTCATATGGAAGATTGTCAAAACTGCGGCGGAGATTCAGTTTGCGTATCGTTTGGAATCTGATGGTACACAAAAATGCAAGAGAAAAGAAAACGGGGGCTTCTCCATTTCCTCCCTTTCACTGGAGCCATTTCGGAGGACGACGTAACGTTGTCTGATGTCAAGGTGACGAGCTAATGTACTACAGCCTTCGCTCTACGTACAAAACGGAAAGAAGAGACGCAGGAATTAAATCGAACAAACATTGAGACACGAGTGCTCTTCTGCATTGTTCCTAACATCCCCACATATTAGTAATATTGAGCAGAAGCACAGAGGGAGCTCGGAATCCCGGAAAATCGAGACCAGCTCCGCATGCAGCGAGCGCACAGACGTGACGATGCAATGACGGAGAAAATCGTACCGCTATTTCCTTGGCAATCTCCGCGAGCAGAGACGACGCGACGGGCTGCACCAAGCTTCCACTCCTGCGTCGGCTCTTACTCTCTCCAACCTGAAAGTCCACCCGCCCCTTCCCAAACGACCCCGTGACAGACTCCCCACAAAACGCCTTCCTTCCGAGCCCCGATCCCGCTCTGCTGGACACAGGAGCAGCAGCAGTCGACCCGGACACCGAACATTGCGACAACCCCACGGCCGATCGCACGTTGCTGGCAGCTACGGCCATTGTACTGTCCTCTTCCTTCCAAATTCCACTCCCTCCTCACTTCCTCCACCCCTCTTCTCTCCCTCTCTCACTCTCCAACAAAATGTACCCTTTCAATCCTCCTCTCCCCACGAAAAATATCACCCTCTCTCTCCCTCTCGTCCTCTCTCGCCCGTCTCTTTTCTTGATCAGAGTCGATGTCGCAAGCAGCAGTACCACCGCCGAGCTCGAGGCGAATGAATTCACGAGTCCACGAGATTGGGCCCTCGTCGTTGTCTGCGAGCGCTCGCGCTTTTTCTCTCCTGCTGCTGCTGCTGGCGCTGGAGGCGCTGCTGCCGTTGTCGCTGCCGTTGTCGCTGTTCGCTGCGCGCTCTTTCTTTCTAGTGCACTAGTGCACGATCCGCTGCCTCTGAGCGCCCGCTGCTTCTTCTACTTGAACTGCAGCGCGGCCTGGCGCTGGGGCCAGCTCGGGAGAGCGGTGGACGCGCCACCTCACCCGCCCTCTGCCCTCTGCCCGCCCCCTCTGCCTGCCCGTCCCAGTAACTCATCCCCCATGCAGCATAGCCCTCCCCATCACCCTCCCATGATCATATGCTCCCCATGCCATACTCCGCCTCACCAACCCTCCCGATGTCGACAAACCAGCAGCGCCTCTGGAATACATACCCACTCCGTACCTGTTCTCCTGCGGACCCTCCAAGTATGCTGATGACACATGGTACCATGGCATTGCACGCATGCATGCTCCATTCGGCGCCCCTCTTCTCCTCCTCCTCCTCCTCCTGCTGCTGCTGCTGTACGCCCGACATTCCCACCCCGGCATCCCATCCCATCCCATCCCATCCGGGTCCTAATTGAATACAGTATCGTATCCGTCAGCGTACACCCTTCCGGCTTCGGGGCACGATCGCCGTATTCCTCCGACCTCCTCAGAGTCAGAGAGTATTCGCGGAGGAGAAGGAGAATTCGCGATGCGGCCGGGCCGGCGACGTCCGCGAGGGAGCACGTACGGGGCGTCGGAAGCAGAAATTCGCTATTTTGTTGTTGGGCCCGGCCTCGAACTCTCCAGACAGGCGGTGCTCTACTGGAAAGTATACGCGATTGCGTCGAGTGAGTCCAAAATGTTGGAACAACTAACCGTACCTACTTACTCTGCCTGCCTGCCTGCCTGCCTGCCTCTGACTTCTGTCCAGAATTTCAGTCTGTTAGACAAAGATCTGTCCTCCCCAAAGGCTGAAAGAGACAAGCGTGATTTGATCTTGTCTTCAGGCCGCGAAATATTAACAGCGTTATCATTAGCATATTATCAAATATTTCTCCGCGTTTTTTAATTCCTCCCACCGTAAGGTGAGGGGAGGTGAAGTTTACTACGCCGCTCCCGAGTTCCACCCCGTCGCCCAACCTAACCGCGGTCACTCGTACGTCGTGAGTGGCACACTTACCGGAGGTGCACCGGTTCCAACCGCAGTACTCTTCCGCCAGGACCTGCGCTGCCCTGCCCGCCTACGGATGAGAGATCTTCGAGGTCCGTCTGTCTGGTAGGATCTAAAACGCGACCGACGGAGGCCGAAATCGAGCGGATGGCCACGTGTCATTCTCTCCATCATGGCCGATGCGGGCATGGTGACCGGGCCGGAGTCTAGATACTGCTGGCGATAATATTTATTCTCGGCGCTTTTGGACTCTCGACAGGCTCGAGATTTTACCAGCACGGGGAAAATGGCCGTCGGACCTTCTCACGTATGCGATCTATTTACCTTCTTTTGTTTGTGGGGTTCATGGCCGTCATTGCCCGGCCCGTGGATCCACCAATGGGAGCAGGGCGCAGATTTTTTCTGCCTACACTGCCCCCTTTTCAGAATTATGTCGAACACAGATCGCACGCGAGCTGAATCATGCTCCGTCTTTTCCAGGTCAGCCTGGGGGTGAGAACTCGGAGATTTTTCCCGCTGCGTCTAACGACGCTGTTCACAGTCGGGCCCGTGACTTGAGCCCCATGGCTGAATCATACTCCGCCTTTTCCACATCAGCCTAGTGGATATCGTTCTACGGAAGGCGTCCATGCTTTTCTCGTTCCGCACCACAGTGAACACAAGCGGCGACGCAAAGTTGTGGCTCGTCGTCGACTCTTTTCTCACCTCCGTGGACTTTCGATGCCCTTCATCCATTCCTTCCACCGCGACGGCGCTAGAAGCCAACTTCCGTCGGAAGATTTTTATTTTCGCGGTACTCGGAGCAAAGGCTACTGCGAACTACGCAAGGTGCCAACCGCGATTTCAGCGGATGGGCTACCTGTGTACCACAGTCGATGATGGATGGGTCGGGATGCCGCGCGAGGTCATGTGGTGGACTGTCGAAGCGATATGTACGAGCCGACGAGGACGAGGACGACGACGACCGTGGTACCAAGTGGTTGCCGAGGGGCTGATGGGGACGGGTACGAGCGCCCGAAATGGTCATGACAAATTGCTACGGAGGACCGAACGCATGATGGCGGTGGGGGCTGCACTCTGACAAGGGGGAGTGGGAGTGGGAGGGCGATGGGAATGGGAACGAGAATGAATGTAAGAGGGCGAGGAAAGGGACGGAGGAGACGAAGGGAGGCAGGCAGGCAGGCAGAGTAGACATGTCGTTCAACATCGCACACCCATCGCTCGCTCGCGTCTCTCTCTACCTTTACCGCATCGCGCCGCTTTTTCTCGACGACCGGTGCTGCGCCACTGCTGGTGACTAACTCCTCCGCCAGCCCCAACATATGGCCTCCACCCACCGCCCATTAGGTCCCCCCCCCGCCCCTCCCTTCTTCCAATTCCGACCGCTTGCATCGTACCGGCACTACCAGCTCCGCCCATCATCCCTTCCCTGCTGTCTGCTTCGCGGGCTGGGGGGGGAGGGACCTCTCTTGACCCGCGACCCGCGACCCTTCGGGCTGTACTGACTGGCCCGTCGCGGTGCGGGCGGGCGGACGGACGGACCCGATGTGGAGTAGGGCGCTGTAGCAGGGGAACCCCGTCGGGGCTGGGATGTTGTACTGTACTCAGTACAGTGTACTGTACTCCACTGTGCCGGGGTGCGGATTCAGAGCCTGAGACGGACTTTTGGCAGGGACGGGAAAGGCAAACGGATGACACGTGTGTTTCCTGACAGAAACTCGCGGGCTCCGTCGGCAGCTCTGCAGGGACCGTATTTACTCGCGACGACTGTCAGTGGAGGTGACTTACAAGTGTACAGTGGGGAGGAACGGTCCGCACTGGACGAAGTCCTGAGCTCGGCTCGCGGGGCGAGAGCGTGCGCCACGTGTGACGTGGGGAAAAAGTCCCGCCCGCTGGATGGCTGCCATGGCCCGTGACAGAGTAAAGTTCTGGAAAAGGCCACCCCCCTCTCCCGAGGTCTTCACCCGGGGTAACCGAGCTCGGGCCTTTTTCCTCCGTAAGTGCCTGCCTGACACGTGTGTTTTGCGACAGAAACACTCTGCTTCCGTTGGTTGGCTGCGGGGTAAAACTGCGCTCGAGTACGGGGAAATATCGGACCATGGCCGCCTTCGCTGCATGAGGGGCAAGATGCTTATCGACGTTGTAGCCAATTTCTGTACGCGGACGGTGGCGCCGTCCATGTCCACGATGTACACGTGTGATTTCCGCGAGGAATTTATCATCGACGCATTCATTTGAAGATAACCATCTCTTCGAGTACGATGTGCTCCGTGGCATTCACGAGAACGATCGATCCTTCAATGTCAACAGAGACTTCGTGCAGATGTTCACAGGCGGAAACTGCCTCCCAGCTGCAGCCTGCTCTGCAGCCTTCTCTTGACCCCTTGACCTCTTGGAACCCTGGGAATTTAATAATTTCGAAGCTCTAATTTTATCCGAACGAAGGGTTCGAGCTGCACCGTGGCGATGGGCGGATGGATAGTCTCCTGTGATGTCAACTGAAATGCCAGAAGTTGCTTCCAGGGTGACAACACCTCCGAGCTGCGAAACTGCACCATAATCTGCTGCCGACCATTCAAAGCCCATCTTTTGTGGACTTCAACCATCCATTTAACGCAACCCATCAATCATAGTCGTAAGGTGCATGCAACGGGACGACAGTTTCTCGTAATGTCAACTGGAATTTCTCAATTTGATCCGAGGTGACAATTGCTTCCAAGCTGCAAGATTTATCCATATTGTTGACCTTAGAATCACGGACTCGAAGCGCTTCAACGATCAGACGAGAAGTGTGCTTCTGTAGGTGGTTGACGGGACCACGCCCAAAGAAACTAAAGTCCAGTTTGTTTTCTCTTGAATTCTGGAATCTATTGTCAACCCTTATGTCTGGGGGTTCTATGGAGGCGCCTTGGCGTTCCAAGTGAAGGAAAGCCATGGACATCATGTCTTCGCGGTAGGAGGTCCGTGACATCACTCAGCTGAAAAATGTTGATGAATTCATCAGGGGATGAAACCCCAAAGGCTAGAATGTCGTGGCCAAAATATATGGATTAAGAATAGTGAACTCAGCGATAATACTTTCAATGCTATATAAGAATCGTCTCTAAGTAGAGACACTAAGGGTTGACAACGGTTCCAGGACTCGAGAGACCTCATCTGATTTGACCTTATCCACATGGTCTTGAGAAAGAAAAATGTAACAGAAAAACCTGTGACTAGTCTGTAGAAATGCAATTAATTCAAATGGTTGACTAGATCCAGATTTTGCTATTCAAGATCAATATACTTTCGGTTATCGAGATTCTTTATATTTACTGTATTGATTTATTTTGCAAAACAGTCAGCAGTACTATACAAAGAAAAATGATAGAGACAATGAAAAAAGCGATCAATAACTTTTTGAACCGTACTAATCTATCCCAAGGCTAAAGATTTACAGAATTATGGAGTAAAGAAGCTCTGGAGTCAAAGGAAAGGGAAGACAAGTATCTATCCCCAGAGCAAAAACTTTGGAATGATTCTTAGCTATCTTTGTTAGCAATTTAAGCATTATGATTAAAATTCTGAAAGAAAATATAAATTGCATCCGTTATTAATACGAAGGTTCTCTATAATACTTCCCATGATCAATCAGAAGAAGAATTACAAGCACATATATTCTCTGGCTGCTACTTATAAATTTTTTCATTTGATCTGAGAATATATTGTAGTGGATTATCAAAGCCACCAATTACGCATATCTAGTTTAAATAGCTGCGTGATGCTTCAAGTATCTATGAGAATTTTTTCACACATCCTGTTATTCGACTGCATTCTCAATTTTTATCTATAAATAACGTTATCACATTCTGAAATCTGTAGAGACGCTTCTTGAATTTTTACATGCTTCATGAGTGGACAAGGTAAAATAATCAAATAGGATGGAAAGACATGCTTTCTAGGTTTGCTGATGTAAACAAAC